AATTGGATATCTTGATCGGAAATGTCAGAGACAAGTAAGGATTTCTCAAAGCAGATAAAAATCCTCCAATCCGGAAGACTACATGATAACCGGATGTCTCGCTACAACCCGCTGAAGGTTAAATCATCCAAGTTGGAAGACTAGCGCGGATCTCTTTCTCACCCGGAAGACTGAGTATGACTCTTCCGAATTTGTCAGCTAAGAACCGGATGCCTCAAGAAAGACCGGAATTCTCAAAAAGCGGACAAGTGAGAAAAGACTTAGAAAATTATCTAAGTCTTGAATGAAGAAATTCTACCCGTTGGTAAGGAAAAATCATTCTCTTGATTTTCAACGGCTAGATTGAAGATAATTATGTTTATTCAAGAACAAATGACTCGAAGACAAAGTCTGGACCTCTAAAAATTGAAGAGCCTGTCCAGAGTTCCTAAACAAGCACTAGAAGACAAACAGAGTAAAGTGCTACAGCCCAGAATTCTTGAACAACAGCTAGAAGACGGATTCTGTGGAAAAAGGAATCCCTCCTTAAACAATTGGGTATGTCCAAACACCCATTCCAACAAGGAATCTTCAAATCACAATCTTCATTCAAAATTGAAGCCAGCAAATGCAACGGATAGTCTATTATGATTCAACGGATAGATTATCCAATCCAGCTATAAATAGCACCCTTGGAAGACTGGAGAAGATATGAATAGACGATGAGATAGAAAACCACAACAAAGCAATATCTAACAACAAAGCTATCTCATTCACAGTTAGCTCAAAAAGCTTGATAAAGAGAGATTTCTAAACTCCTTATCCAGAAGCAAACTTCTCCTCCTTCCAAAAAGCTATAGTGTAAACACTTGAAGGTTTTCTTGCCTCAAGTACCACACCACGTTGAAGGATACAACTTTTGATCAAACTTATTGATTAAAAGGGGGTAGGTCAACTTTCTTACAAGTTGATCTTGCAAGTCCTATTGTTTGGACCTTGCAGTTGTTGAAGAAGCGTGACCTTCGAAGGAACAACAAAAGCCAGCACTAGTGCAGTAGCAACATTGGCCTTGCGAAGATATACCGTGCAGAAATTCACACAAGTGTAATTGTTGGTTCATTATTCAACAACCAACTACATAGTGGATTTTGAGGACGTAGAAGGATTACCCCACCTTCGAACCTCGTTAAAGTTTGCGTGTTTCTCTCTTTTATCTTTATTCTTACTTGCAATTATATTAACTGTGAAAACTAACCCATCCATATTGATTACTGCTCACTCTACCCACCAAATTCCGCACACAATCTAAAGTTCACAAGAACTCTAGATTAACACTCATTTTCACGTTTTCAAAAGAAGCGAAAAAGTTTTAAATTTGTAACAAAGTCTATTCACCCCCCCCCCCTCTAGACTTTGTATCTCACCACTTTGGGACCACCATAAGTTACGAAATGTCAGACCAAAATAAAATAATTTACAAAAGTATTAAAATCTAAGAGTTTAAAGAGCCGAAAACAAAAATTATTTGTGGTCGGTCCTCAATATACTGCTTTGATCAGAAATTATAGAAAACTATTTAATTATGTAATTTTTGTATATTTAGGTTCTTTTTTTTATGTAAAAGGGAATAAATAAAGTTTAAAGAAAGTTCTTTAAAAAAAGTTAATTACACAATAAAGTTCTTTAAATAAAGTTAATTATTATGGGAATAAAAATCTTCGCATAAAAGCAATAAAAAATAACTTTAAATAAAATTGATTACACATCAGAGTGACAAAGGGAATAAATAAAGTTTACTATTATTATAACATAGAAATATCAAAAAATACTTGAACAATGATAGGAAAGGGGCCGCGCGAACGCTGGCCCCCGCTACCACAAATTATGACGTAGGCTCCACCACTTGGGTAGACCTTGGGCGGACACCCTTCCAAGGTGCAATGGAAGTCATCAACCTAGACCATGGGCCTTCTTGATCACCCATTGACCCCGTCCAGGTAAGTATGGAGCTCTATGCCCCTTGGCCTTCCTTTATACTCTCGTGCTCGCATTGTTGTGTGTTCCACAGCCGGTGTGGGATGGAGGGATTCTTTTTTTATTTCCAATCCTCCTCCCTTTTCGTTTAATTTCGTCCACGCGCTACTTCTCTTTCTTTTCCTTTTTTATTTTCTTTTTTCATCTCTTTCTATTTCTAATTCTCCCTTCCAACAACCTACCTCTATAAGTTACAGTTCTTTTTTTAGCAACACTCCAAATTCTTTTTTTATACTTCACTATAATTTTTATTTTCTAAAATGGCACTACAAAATTTGTGAATATTTTTTGATAATTCTATTATGATTGTTTTTTCAAAAACAAAATTACAATGGGAGTATTTTAAAATAGTTTTCAAACAAGAGATGTGCGTTGTATAATTGTTATCAATAAATTAAGCTTCATTTTTCATCTACATTCTTTTCTCCCTACTCTTATAGAATAGTTTTCAATCAACCAAGAACAGTCCAACATTGATTGATCGAATGAAAATAATCTCACGTCGCATTTTATGCACAAAAATAATCATAAGTTACGATGTGTCAGACCAAAATAAAATAATTTACAAAAATATTAAAATTTAAGAGTTTTAAGACCCAAAAACAAAAATCATTTGTGGTCGGTCCTCAATATACTGCTTTGATCAGAATTTATAGAAAACTATTTAATTATGTAATTTTTGTATATTTAGGTTCATTTTATGATGTAAAAGGGAATAAATAAAGTTTAAATAAAGTTCTTTAAAAAAAGTTAATTACACAATAAAGTTCTTTAAATAAAGTTAATTATTATGGAATAAAAATCTTTGCATAAAAGAAATAAAAAATAACTTTAAATAAAGTTGATTACACATCAGAGTAACAAAGGGAATAAATAAAGTTAACTATTATTATAACATAGAAATATCAAAAAATACTTGAACAATGATTGGAAAGGGTCGCGCGAACGCTGGCCCCCGCAACCACAAATTATGACGTAGAATCCACCACTTGGGTAAACCATAGGCGGACACCCTTCCAAGGTGCAATGGAAGTCACAATGGAAGTCACCAACCTAGACCATGGGCCTTCTTGATCACCCATTGACCCCGTCCAGGTAAGTATGGAGCTATATGCCCCTTGGCCTTCCTTTATACTCTCGTGCTCGCATTGTTGTGTGTTTCACAGCCGGTGTGGGATGGAGGGATTCTTTTTTTTATTTCCAATCCTCCTCCCTTTTCGTTTAACTTCGTCCACGCGCTGCTTCTCTTTCTTTTCCTTTTTTATTTTCTTTTTTCATCTCTTTCTATTTCTAATTCTCCCTTCCAACAACCTACCTACCTCTATAAGTTACAGTTCTTTTTTAGCAACACTCCAAATTCTTCTTTTATACTTCATTATCATTTTTATTTTCTAAAATGGCACTACAAAACTTGTGAATATTTTTTGATAATTCTATTATGATTGTTTTTTCAAAAACAAAATTACAATGGGAGTATTTTAGAATAGTTTTCAAACAAGAGATGTGCGTTGTATAATTGTTATCAATAAATTATGGTTCATTTTTCATATATATTTTTTTCTCCCTACTCTTATAGAATAGTTTTCAATCAACCAAGAACAGTCCAACATTGATTGATCGAATGAAAATAATCTCACGTCGCATTTTATGCACAAAAATAATCATAAGTTACGATGTGTCAGACCAAAATAAAATAATTTACAAAAGTATTAAAATTTAAGAGTTTAAAGAGCCGAAAACAAAAATCATTTGTGGTCGGTCCTCAATATACTGCTTTGATCAGAAATTATAGAAAACTATTTAATTATGTAATTTTTGTATATTTAGGTTCATTTTTTTTGATGTAAAAGGGAATAAATAAAGTTTGAAGAAAGTTCTTTAAAAAAGTTAATTATACAATAAAGTTCTTTAAATAAAGTTAATTATTATGGGAATAAAAATCTTTGCATAAAAGAAATAAAAAATAACTTTAAATAAAGTTGATTACACATCAGAGTGACAAAGGGAATAAATAAAGTTTACTATTATTATAACATAAAAATATCAAAAAATACTTGAACAATGATTGAATTATGACGTAGGCTCCACCACTTGGGTAGACCTTAGGCGGACACCCTTCCAAGGTGCAATGGAAGTCACCAACCTAGACCATGGGCCTTCTGGATCACCCATTGACCCCGTCTAGGTAAGTATGGAGCTCTATGCCCCTTGGCCTTCATTTATACTATCGTGCTCGCATTGTTGTGTGTTCCACAGCCGGTGTGGGCTGGAGGAATTCTTTTTTTATTTCCAATCCTCCTCCCTTTTCGTTTAATTTCGTCCACGTGCGGCTTCTCTTTCTTTTCCTTTTTTATTTTCTTTTTTCATCTCTTTCTCTTTCTAATTCTCCCTTCCAACAACCTACCTACATCTAAAAGTTACAGTTCTTTTTTAACAACACTTCAAATTCTTCTTTTATACTTCACTATCATTTTTATTTTCTAAAATGGCACTACAAAACTTGTGAATATTTTTTGATAATTCTATTATGATTTTTTTTTTCAAAAACAAAATTACAATGTGAGTATTTTAGAATAGTTTTCAAACAAGAGATGTGCGTTGTATAATTGTTATCAATAAATTAAGCTTCATTTTTCATCTATATTCTTTTCTCCCTACTCTTATAGAGTAGTTTTCAATCAACCAAGAACCGTCCAACATTGATTGATCGAATGAAAATAATCTCACGTCGCATTTTATGCACAAAAATAGTCATAAGTTTCGATGTGTCAGACCAAAATAAAATAATTTACAAAAATATTAAAATTTAAGAGTTTTAAGAGCCAAAAACAAAAATCATTTGTGGTCGGTCCTGAATATACTGCTTTGATCAGAAATTATAGAAAACTATTTAATTATGTAATTTTTGTATATTTAGAGCACGAAACGAAGATCCGGATGACTACAGTTACTTGGAAGGTTTATGCGAACCGTATTGTGATGAAACACTTCACACTCGTTGCATGGATTATAATGTTCAATGTGCAATATTCAATATTCCATTCCCAACTCCTCATGATTTATTTTAAATAAATATATACATTTTTAGTTACTTGAATTTGCCGCTTTTCCCCACTTTAATTTTATATATATATATATATATATATATATATATATATATATATATATATATATATATATATATATATATATATAGGCGTTATGTCTACACAAATTCGCGAAGAACGCCGGCCATCTGTGCCGCAAGCAGAACACCTTCGGCCACAACTCAAGAAAAGCTTCGTGGAGGCTTTGGGCTCTTCACAATCCCAGATTCAACCAGAACAGAAAATAATCGGACGTTACAAGGGTTTCCCGGCGGTCTCCTTCACCTCGGAAGAAGTTATATCACTCTCAGCGCCGTACCAATTTGCATTGGTGGGGCGATTCACCAAATCCAGGCCTCCGCTACAGGTAATCCGTAGGTCCTTCGAGAAAATTGGCTTCAAGCCCGGCCATACGATTGGTCTTCTAGCCCCCTCCCTTGTTCTTATCAATTTTCAGTGCCCTCTTGATTACCAACGATGCTTTTCCAAAAAAATCTGGAACATTAATGGAGGGGAGTTGGTTGTGTCGAAATGGAGTCCCAACTTCCATGCCGACCTCGAAAACCCCGTATTCCCGATCTGGGTTTCCCTCGTCCACTTGCCCATCCATCTCCAAGAAGCCAAAGCACTTCATTGCATTGCACGGTCTATTGGTAATCCCCTTATGATGGATGCATCAACAACAACTAAAACTAGGCCATCGGTTGCAAGGTTTTGTGTTGAAATTGATGTCTCCAAAGAACTTCCGAAGAAAATATGGATCGACAATGGCGGGATGGGCTTCTTCCAAGATATTTCGTATGAGAATGTCCCGGACTACTGCTGTCAGTGTAGGAAATCCGGTCACTTGACCGGAAATTGCTTTAAAAACGAAGATGCCTCACCAGAACAGTCCAATGACAAACAGATGGGGGTCCTTACCTTTGTGCAGAAAGAGCCAGTACTCCCAACACCCCCTGTGCTTCCAACATGTGAAGCGGGACCTAATTTCCAGCCAGGCCCCCCAGTCCAATCCTGTTTGGACATTTGTGTTGGGAAGCTTATTCCTGTCCAACAAGACAGCTTGGCCTCGGACTCCTTGGGTCCTATTGGGACTCCGAATTCAATTGTTAATGCAGATGACCCCTTGAGGAGAAAGGATCACAGGGCTGTCGGCATTCTGGACCATGCATCAGATCCTCAAGAACATGTGGTTGATCCCACTTCTGTCCAAAGCGACCAGGTTGCCAGTGATGAGGGACCAGGTGCCTTACAGCATGTGGTTGTAAGACAGGACGAAACCAAGGAAGGGTGTTCTACTCCCATTACTGTCATTGAAGATGGAATGACCAAAACTCAAGAGGTTGTAAATTCTATTGAGCCTGAAATGGAAACTACAACCAAATACACCTTCAAGGAAACTATTGTAGAGGTGGATGGCCATTTATTCCTCATCAATGTTAAGGAGCCCGTTGAGTTCCAAGAAACAACAGAAACCTTGGCGGATGCTAAGGTTGATACATCTCCGACAGGGTCTACGAATGATAAACTCCTAGAGCGCACATCAAATAACCCGGACTCAATTGAGGACAGCTTGGACCAAGAAAAGACAGAGAACCAATCTGAACCAGACTTTGAAAGCGAAGAATATCAGTATGAAGAGGGTTTCACCCTTGTCAAACGCAAGAAGGGAAACTATCCCGAACTAACAATCCAAACACGAAGCGGTTATCGCCCCCAATGTGGTCGAGGACGAGGCAGGCGAGGCCGCGGCCGGAACTAAACCATTCGTTTTAAGGGACAACGTCCCTAAAAACAAGGTCCCCTCCCCTTTTTTTAGGGGTGTCTCCCATTTACTGCTTTCTTTCTTTTTTTGTCTTTTTTCCACTTCCTACTACCACTTTTGGGTAGTTCTTTGCTCCTGTAACTTTATTATTTGCATTAATAAAAATCCTTTTCTTATATATATATATATATATATATATATATATATATATATATATATATATTCTAATCCCTCCGGTACTTTCTTAGTTTGTACGGAGTAGTTTTTTATTTTATTTTCGTATTTCAATGGTACCATATTTTATTTCCATACTATAATTCTCTAGTGGTTCGCTACAATTTAATTAAATGGTATAGCATTTAAATATAAATGGAAACATAATTAAAATGGAAGGAAAACATTAAGGCAACATAATTGGTATTGTTAACACTTTCCATATATGAGTCAAACGTATAGGCAGGAAAAATTATTGAGGCAACAATATATAGATTGGGATATAGAAGTAATTTTTGAGCTAAATTGGCTAAAATATGTAATTGGTTGTATTTGGGCTATAAATTTTTTACTGTGGCAGTACTTTTTTGGAAGTGGAGGCAATTTTATTAGAGTGGAGGCTCGAGTATACTAACCCATAAAATACAGGAATATGTGATCTTGAAACTAAATTTATAAAACAGAAAATTGCTATTGGGTACCCTCAGTTTTGTGATAAAAACTCACAGGTTTCATCTTTTTGAAAAATATACTCCGGTGTACCTTTAATTATCCGAAAACTAACTTCGGAGAGACTTTCCGTCCTTCCCTTCGTCAAATTCATTTTCTCCGATAACTTTTCATCATTTTCTTTCTAAAAATTGTTGTTAGGTACCCCCAATTTTATAAAAGTAACTTTCAAGTCCCATCATTTTTAAAAATATACTTCGAGATACCCTAAAATATCCAAAAAGATACTGTGGGGGGTTTCCCTTTTTTTCCTTTTATTATTATTATTATTATTATTATTATTATTATTATTATTATTATTATTATTATAAGTATTATTATTATTATTATTATTATTATTGCACTTATTATTACTATTACTATTACTATCACGATTATTATTATTATTATTATTATTATTGCTTTTATTATTACTATTACTATTACTATCATGATTATTATTATTATTATTATTATTATTATTATTGTTCTAGTGCGTGTAGCGAAAATCCAATGCAACTCAATAGGCAACGCGGCAGCGAGTTACAACTGCGGAAGATAATGATGAAGTGTTTAATAATAATAATACTCTGTAGTAATAGTAATAATAATAACAATCACAATCACAATAATAATAATAATAATAATAATAATAATATAATAATAGTCACACAATAATAATAATAATAATCTAAGAATAATAATAATAATAATAATAATAAAGGAAAATTCTTCCAAAGCAAATTTCTGGATATTTTAGGGTACCCGGAGTATATTTTTAGAAATGATGGGACCTGGAAGTTAGTTCTACAAAATTGAGGGTACCTGACAACAATTTTTGGGAAGAAGAAGATGAAAAGTTAAAGGAGAAAATGAATTTGACGAAGGGATGGACGGAAAGTCTCCCCGGAGTTAGTTTTCAGATAATTAAAGGTACCCCGAAGTATATTTTTTAAAAAAATGGGACATGTGAGTTCTTATCACAAAACCGAGGGTACCTGGGAGCAATTTTCTGTTTATAAATATATCAATTTTAAATTTAAATCAAAATATGATATTTTATCACATATTCATTAAATTTAAAAAATAAAAACTATTACTACCCAAGTATATGAGAAATAAAATATTATATTTTATTTTCCGACATGCAATATTAGTTTTAAAAATAAATTGAGAGAAAAGGATGGAAGAACGAAACAAAAAATGGTATTGATTTGGTGGGGTGTGCCGGGCCAAAAACTTATCGAGCACTTATCAGGTGCTAGCAAACAAGAGATCTGTTATTTATTACTACCTCCGTCCCAAAATATTTGCCCACTTTCATTTTTACACATCATCCAATACACTTCTTTAATCCATTTTATCTTGTAATTTGTATATTAAAAAATTATAGAAATTATATATTAATAATCTATATGTTAAGACAAATCAAACAAGATCACACATGACTATATATAGGCTTATAAATTGAGAGAATTTGATGAGTCAAAGTGTTTAAATGAACAGTTCCAAAAGTCAAAACTGGACGAATACTCCGAGACGGAGGAATAGTAATCATGAGATAAAAGTTTTAAAAAGTCAAAGATTAACTCTTTTTTGAAAGGGAATATGATTATTCCATTATTTATCCATGATTAATCCTATAGCAATCTTCATATAAGATCTATTTAAAATAACTTTAAATAAAGTCAATTACACATCAATAGTCAATAGAGGGACAAAGGGAATAAATAACGTTTACTACAACAATATAAAAATATCAATCAATATTTGAACAATGATTGGATAGGGACCGCGCGAACACTGGCCCCCACTACCACAAATCATGACGTAGGCTCCACCTCTTGGGTAGACCTTAGGCGGACACCCTTCCAAAGTGCAATGGAAGTCATCAACCTAGGCCATGGGCCTTCTTGATCATCCATTGACCCAATCCAGGTAACTATGGAGCTCTATTCCCCTTGGCCTGCATTTATACTGTGGTGCTCGCATTGTTGTTTCTTCCGCAGCCGATGTGGGATAGAAGGATTCTCTTTTATTTTTTTCATCTTTTTCTATATGTAATTCGACACTTGGAATTCTTTTTTGATGCTATATACTATCATTATTATTTTTTAAAATGGTACTACAGAACTTGTGAATATTTTTAGATAATTCTATATATTTTTTTATTGCAAAATAAAAATACAACATTTGTGAAAATTACACAATAATTTTTTTCTGAAATGGAACTTTTATTTTTATAACTCATTATATTTTTTTGTATCGAGGGCAAAGAATGTCGCTTTTGAACGCCTCTACAAGGATATTGAGGAGAAAGGCAGTGTTAATCCACTATTCCGGCTTGCTAAGGTGCACGAGAGGAAGGCCCGAGATCTAGACCACGTGAGATGCGTGAAGGACAGCGATGGTAGAGTGTGAGTTGAGACTGCCAAGGTGGCTAAGCGCTGGGGGGAGTACTTTAGTGAACTCTTAAATGCGGGAGGAGACCAGAGGCTAGTTCTTGATGAGTTGGGACATCCTAGGGCATCTCGTGTGTACTGCCGGCGCATTTGCTTGGAAGAGGTGGTTCGGGCTCTCCGCGTGATGCGTAATGGGAGAGCTGTGGGACCAGATGAGATTCCAGTGGAGTTTTGGAAGCATGCGGGTCGTGATGCGTGGGTTTGGTTAACCAAACTCTTCAATGTTATCCTCCGGACAGCATGGATGCCTGATGAGTGGAGGGAGAGTCTCTTGGTCCCTCTGTTTAAAGGCAAAGGTGACATTCAGAGCTGCGAGAATTACAGAGGCATCAAACTGCTTAGCCACACCATGAAGGTTTGGGAGCGAGTTATTGAGTATAGGGTGCGGAAAGAGGTTTGCATCTCGGAAAACCAGTTTGGTTTCATGCCTGGCAGATCGACTACAGAGGCCATTCATCTCGTGAGGAGGTTAATGGAAGAGTATAGGGCTAGGAAGAAGGACCTTCATATGGTGTTTATTGACCTTGAGAAGGCGTATGATAGGGTGCCAAGGGAGGTCTTATGGAGGTGCCTTGAGGCGAGAGGAGTTCCCATCGTGTACACTCGCGCGATCAAGGATATGTACGATGGGGCTATGACCAAGGTAAGGACTTC